AAAAAAAACATTCATATCTTGTCTGACATCTCTGCTACAAACTCTGGTCATCAACTCTGGTTTTCAGTTGAAATTGGAATTGTTAATTTACACAATAATAGGAGTGCATTGACAATTTTTTCTTAACTCGCAAAAATCTTCAAACAATTTGCTACCGATTGGTAATAAAATTTTTTGGAAATAATGAAATAGGGGGGATAACGCCTTTTTTTTCAGGGGTGATTTTTCAAAAATTTATTTTAAAAAAAGTACTAACTAGCAAATGTTTTTTATTAGCTCGCAATTTTTTTCGAAACTACTTCAATGAGGAAAAAAATAAAAATTTGGAATATCTATACATGAGGGGCTAATTGATCGGGTCTAAAAGTTGGCTGTGGCAACTCGGCGGTGAGGGTTTGCCATTTTATCATTAGTTTAAAATTAAGCAATAGTGTAGAAAAAATTAGACGGGTTTGGGCAGGCTAGTTGGGAGGGACTGAATCTCTCGACGAGGCTTTTCATATAATCACGATCGAACTTCACTTACAGGTAAGTTCGTTTGATCGTACAATTATATTGGAGCCTCGTCTTCGAGATTTTAATAACTTGTAGATGTTCAGAGATCATCCAATTTTTTCTTTTTGTTTTGTTTTAATTTTTTTTAACCCCAGATTTAATATGAATATGAATATTAAAGAGTTTGAAGACGAATGTTAATGGACAAAAAGAATGGTTATTGACTAAACTATATTCAATGCAACTTTGACAAAAAAGCTTTGATCAACGGCAATTACAGAAATCTATATATCGTACTTATAAACCTATCGAGACTTACTCGTTTTCTCACAGCAGCTGGAGTTGGTGTATACTTAGTAATGTAAGTTGAGAATCAGCTGTATCGACTCCAAGATGGCTATAGGACAATATAATCCTATAGGCCAGTGTTTATGGAGATTCGCAGCTATAAAACTCCATGAATGTAACGAACAGTATAGAGATGTTATATCTAAAATCTCAACATACTACAGAAAGCTACCTTGGGTGCGCAAAAATGAAGCCTTTCAAAACGGAAAAGGGGAAACAGGCTGTGGATCGCCTGGGCGAGAAGATTGGAACCTGTCTGGTATCGTGAAATTCAGATTTGACCCACCTTTGACACTGTTCTCAAGTTTAATGGCAGAAAACGTTTGTCGTCTCTGCGAAATACTCAAGGTCAAGAGAAAGATTTTCATTAAGATGAAGAATTGACAGATTTGCCTTGAGTGGGAAAGACCTGGGTGGTAGGTCAGAATACAGTCAAGATACTAGATGTGAGTGTATTGTGATTTACCACGATGTAGTTTAAAAATTTTTTGAACAACCTTTGGAATGTTAAATTTTTTCCCACTGTTTCTTGATTTGGTGGAGTTTATTGTTTCACACGCTGTTCCTTATTTGAACCCTGGCATTAAAAATATGCAGGATAATCGAACTAGATGTCGAACAGCAGTTAATTTTCTTTCATTTATGAAAATCCACAATTTTTCAAGAGTAGACTTTGTTAACGACAAAGAGAAACATTAACATCAGTTATGACACATGCACCTGGTAGCAGGTGAAAGTAAAAGATCCTTCAAGGATTTCTTATCGTAATTTGTTTCTGAGATCGGATAAATGAAAGCAAGAAAGCAGAGTTGAACTATCTAACAGGGGGAGACCATTATACCATCGGTCTCACGATTGAAATTCTATTAATTGTGACAACCAATCGTAGAATCGAGTTGAAAAGATGTCAATCGATACTAGAAGGAGATTGCCGTATTACACGCATGAGAGATTGCGTTGGTATTTTGACAAGAGGGACAAAACAGGTCCATTTTTGGATTGAAAAAATCCTTCTCACCTAAGTTTTGAAAAACTTTGATTGCAATGTACAGCTGCAATATTCACTTTGGAAAGAATGTAAGACGCATTCGACCGAAGCCTTCGCAACAGTGCTAAGACTCTCGAACTGATTTGTTCAGATGAGAGAATTTTGTACCTACCAACCCGTTAACGTAGGGAGTGCCTGCGATGTTATTAAATTTGAGCAAACACTCAGAGGATCATAGTTCGTGGAAAAACACACATATCATCTTTCATAAGGTGTTTCTAGGCAAAACTTGTAAGAGTCATTGATAAAATTAAGGTATTCACAACGCTTTTTGTTTTTTAATACGGCTCTGACAAGAAAGAGTCTTGACAGTTTAATTTGGTATTGGTACCATACTCAATAGCCGGAAAACCAATAATAAAATATCATCTAGATAACTGGATGATATGAAGCCTCCGAATCAATAAAATTCATGACCGGCCTCATGACTCTCACGAAGCTAGAGAATTAGTCGCAATTCCAAATGGGGAGTAGGAATTGGAACAAATACCACCCATGTCAAAACAACGGAACTTTTCATGCTCCACATGTACCGGGGCAGGAAATGTATGACTTTGAAGACATTTCCATCCGTGAATCTGTCACCAAGTATTAGTTTTGGAAGAGTTTTCATGTCCTTCAATTGAAGTTGTGAGTTCTCATAAATTTGTTCAACCTTTTAATGTGAAAAATTAACCATTGCTAATCATATGGTTCACCAACAAAAAGTTACAATGAGACGAGCTGACCCTGATAGGATTCTGATAGTAATACAGAGGTTTCAACTACCTCTATGATTACATACCTGTTTATCCGCCCTTCAGGACTGTCTCTTTCAGTTCAGAGATTTGAAATTCTGGAGGAATTACGGATTGGTAAGGGCCAGAATCGAAGAGGCTTTTATGACTCTTCAGTCTCTTTAGAATAAAACTATTAGAATAGTTTAATTTCCATTCGGAAGGAAATGCTCAAGAATGGCTGCAGAGATTTTTGCCATTACTTTTTGCTCTCTTAAAGTAAGATAACTCTGGAGACGCTGATGCCTCCGGTTGGACCTGTTGTTTAACCTGAGGCATGCAAGGTTTTTGAACCGTTTGATTTAACTCTATGTCTCGAAACAAGCTCCGTTCAATCCAATGAATTTAGATTCTCCTGTAACGGTGGATAAATCTCCAAACCTTGACACAATTTTGAAGATTTATTTTAATCTTCTCAAACTTCCCGAAAAATGTAAAGCCATACAAAAATTAAACTGGAGCTGTAGCCTCAAGGGCCCTAAAAATTTGTTATTTTTCTTGAACCACACAACTTCTGGAGGAGGACTAGATTGTCTAGTTTCTCTTCCTAGAGCAGACTTCGAGGAGTCGCCCCCAGTGCCACGAGGGCAGAACCTGCGTCTTTTGAGATTGATTAAAAATTCTTTATCTCTATGGATTAACGGTTCGGTGGAGATAAAAGCAATCTTTGAATTCAGATTTGGTGGATAATTCCATAAATGTATGTAATTTGTGCCGCAACAAATTCGAGACCAGCCAGAAACTCCAACGAGCTTCCAGATCACTCTGAAAAGAGATCTCGGCATCATGAGGCTTTGATGGCCCAGGAACTCCTATATTCCTGAATCGAGTTCAGGTGGAATATTATTTTGGAGGTTTGAGGCCTTGAATGATGCGTCAGGTGCAGATGCAACAATTGCATTTGTAATTGAAGGCTTAGAGCCTTACTTTAATGCGTCAGACGCAGATGTACCTATCATAATAGTAGTAGAAGGCTTTGAAGCCTTGGATCAATGCGTCAAGCGCAGATTCAACTATTGAAATAGTAGCACAAGGCTTGGAATCTTGGATCAATGCGTCAAGCGCAGATTCAACTATAGAAATAGTAGAACAAGGCTTGGAGCCTTGGATTAATGCGTCAAGCGGAGATTCAACTATTGAAATAGTAGCACAAGGCTTGGAATCTTGGATCAATGCGTCAAGCGCAGATTCAACTATAGAAATAGTAGAACAAGGCTTGGAGCCTTGGATTAATGCGTCAAGCGGAGATTCAACTATTGAAATAGTAGCACAAGGCTTGGAATCTTGGATCAATGCGTCAAGCGCAGATTCAACTATAGAAATAGTAGAACAAGGCTTGGAGCCTTGGATTAATGCGTCAAGCGGAGATTCAACTATTGAAATAGTAGCACAAGGCTTGGAATCTTGGATCAATGCGTCAAGCGCAGATTCAACTATAGAAATAGTAGAACAAGGCTTGGAGCCTTGGATTAATGCGTCAAGCGGAGATTCAACTATTGAAATAGTAGCACAAGGCTTGGAGCCTTAGGTGAGTGCGTCAAGCGCAGATTCAACTATTGAAATAGTAGAACAAGGCTTGGAGCCTTAGGTGAGTGCGTCAGGCGCAGATGTGTCTAGCACAACAGGATCTGAGCTGTTGCTCGCACTGTCCTGGATGTCAAGGATGAAGATCCATCTAACATATTTGTAACAATCTCTTTCTCAATTTCCTCGTTCTCGATTTTGTCTCAAGGACCAGGAGAACCAGGTAAAATGAGGTTAGGCTGAGTTGTTCCACAAGGAATAAACTCGGCCTGAAAAAGCCTTTGACATCGATTGGTTCTGTCTCTAGGATCTGACTCGAGGGTCTAAAAAGGTTGAGAGACATGAAACATCGCTTACCTTCATTTCAAATCGATTATTTATCCAAGGAAAAGTCGATAAGCCCATGCACGTAATATTTGCAATTTCACTATAGATTTCTATAGATACTCCACACAATTTATGTGTTTCCTCTTCTTACAATCATCCATAACTATGGAAAAGCTGTGTAAAAACGGAAAAAAATAGATTATTACAACAAAAAAAACTGGAAACTCTGAAAAGCGTGCGTTCCACTCGTGCACACACGAAAACAAAGATAAGATGGCGAGCCTGAAGCCCTCACCGCCGAGGTACCACAGCCAACTTTTTCTATGANAGTCGATAAGCCCATGCACGTAATATTTGCAATTTCACTATAGATTTCTATAGATACTCCACACAATTTATGTGTTTCCTCTTCTTACAATCATCCATAACTATGGAAAAGCTGTGTAAAAACGGAAAAAAATAGATTATTACAACAAAACAAACTGGAAACTCTGAAAAGCGTGCGTTCCACTCGTGCACACACGAAAACAAAGATAAGATGGCGAGCCTGAAGCCCTCACCGCCGAGGTACCACAGCCAACTTTTTCTATGATCTCTGAAGGCGTGTGGCTCCATCTAACCGCAGGCGGACTACTACAAGTTATTAAAATCTCGAAGACGAGGCTCGAATATACTTGTTTTGGGTAAAACCGATTAACCTCTCAAGTACCGGCTTCATATACGTATATGAACCCATCATTCTGTCCTATTGACCGAGGTCTTGGTACTATAGAGACTACCTCGCTCTCCCCATCTACCGCCTGGCCGTATGGACAGTTTTATTTAGATCCTGAAGCCCTGTACATCGGACATTCAGATTTTTCGAAATATGAAAAAACCGTGGAAATTGACTAAATAGGGCAATACATGCTTAAGGGACATTTTCAATGCAAAATCTTTTGGAATCTAAGAGATCACTCAGCATTTTTTTTCTAAAACTAATCATTTCTGAGATACTACATAATAAGAGAAGATTTGATATGTGAATTGAAGTAATTCGATAGATCTGATGAATTTAACGAGGAAAAATTAGCTCTTTTTCGTTTTTCTTTTACCAGGTCTAGCAACAATCACTCGACGGCCCTTTGAGTCCCTTCCAGGAACAGCAAATAGATACCTTAAATGAAAACCAATGATACATTCACAACAAAGAAGAGGTCATATAATTGTCGTAGAGCTAAACGGCGTAAAAAGTGTGTATAAGCACGGCTCTTATGCCTCTTTGCCTCTACACTGAGAGAAAAACAAACATGTTGTCGAACAAGTCTTGTTTGGGCCAACAAAATCGATAATTGAAAATTGCCAAAAAAGAATTTATTTGTTTCGAATTTGAAAGTGTCAAACATGAATAATTGCTTTGCTTTCGATAGCAACGAAATATTCGGCTCAAGAGGCGGATAATTCACACTAGACGGTGCCTTTGTAGAATGAAAATATCTCATAGAAGAAAATTTATCAACAAATATTTTATCCCTAAGTTACAAGATTGCTATCACATCATTATTATTGTTTCATTTAAGCGTTCATTTCTTGTCTGGGATTATTAGACAATCGAAACGAAAAACTACTATCCCTTGTTTCGCATAAAACAAAGATTTTTTGGAAGCAAAATACGTATGGGAGTATCGAATAACGAAGGAGTAGTGCTAGAAATGACATTTTTTGCGTGTTTATAGAATGCAATTTTTTTTGAATTACTAAATCTATTTTTGCGACAAAAATTCTTCATTCCGGCACACTCTCTGTATGTTTGACACAAAAAAATCCTTTTTTGATAATTTTCAAAAAACATCTCAATTTTTCTTAATTTTTTCTTGGTACCAATAAGACTCGTTTGAGAATTTTTTCATTTTTCTCTCAGTGTATGGTAATGATAAATTTTCCTCTTTTCATTATCGTCTTTATGACTTACCCAAGCTTGAGTAATTTTGACATATTTGACTCGGTGATATCTAGTTTATTGAATGCTGGATGGTAAACTTTTCTCAGGAGGAGATAACGCTCAGTGGCTTCCTGGGCCATAGGTACATTAAACTTCTTGCAGCGGAGAAATCGAAGAAGAAATTGAGCGTCTGAAAATGGAAATCAATATCAAAATGAGTGAAGAATGAATTTATTTAAGGGGATACGTCGGTGAAATTTAAAAGTCTTCACTGGGCCTTGGGACACATTAAACTGCTTTTGATATGTGACGGACTATGGTACTAATTGGGGAAAATCGTGGACCCGCTTCATTTTGCCCCTTATAACCTCAAAAAACTTAATTTTTTCCTGTTTTTACCTTCAAAATGGTCCTTGCGACGTAGTTGTCGTACGATTTTACCTTTTTTTAATGTTCGTTACACTTCAAAGAATAAAATTAAGTATCCGTTTTACTTGATTCGCAAGAAATTCATTTATTCATAATCTATTGCAAATAAAGTAAAACGGATGCTTAACTTTATTAGCCGAAGGTAAGTTTGTAGTAGTGAGAAGAATTTTACAATATACGCAAAATGTTCAGCAACTATGCGCCTTGACATACTGTCTCTAGATGCTCTACCGTGTGTAATGTATAATATAGGGCTGCCCACTACGGTCTCGGACTAGTCTCGGTCGGACTAGTCTCAGTCTGGTCTCGTATCGTTTCGATGTTATGAAGCGATACCGAGGCAATACTCGTGGAAACATCCGAGTCGAAATGTGGGACCTATTTTTGACCTGAAAGTGTTCTATCCGTTCTCTTTTTCATCTCCCTTCCCGAAAAACCTCCATGGATACTCTATTCAGAGGACCGCCATTCTCTTTTCATCCTCTATTCTACTCTTAACTCCTAGAGAGAGCGAAAATCACTTTTTATTCTCTGTTTTCAAGATCTGTTTTACTGCTCTCAACTACCTTCATCTGCAAAGCTATATTTTAATTTATTTATGCCACCAGCGTGCAGTAAACCCCCCTTGAAATATTTTCCCCTTGATATTGTTAATTATTACTGTTATTTTTATTTTTATTATTATCGTTAGTATTCTTTATGGTCTTTGGTTAAAAAATGATTTCTGAAATTGTTAAATGTTTAACAACGATAAGAGCACATAATATTTCAGAATATGTGGTTGCTGATTTAATTTCTGGCATATTCAATGACGATTTTTCATTGTGACATTCGAAGCAAATTGTGCTTCTCTGTTTCGTATGACATCAAATACTATCCATGTTTGTGCTAATTTATTCAATCATTGTTCTGAATTTTCAATCTACTAAAAATTAAGTTGTATGTGATGTACAGTTTTCACAATGGGTGGAAGAATTCAATCTGTCATTGGAATGTGAATGATAGTGTGAACGCTTTTCTGCTTTCAGGTTCCATAGATAGAGCTACGAGAGAGTTTCAGAAAACTATTTTATGAATTACATTTATTCTTGAAACAGCGCATTATTTGCATACTCGGACAATTTTCATATCTTATCTCCCACCTTTCGAAGGAGGAAGCTCATCCGAACTTGTGGCGATGGTGAACTGGATGTTTAACTTAATTTTTTGACTAACAATGTATCGTTGTCAAGAAAAAGGGAAATGAAAATAACTCGTTACACACAAAAATTTTTTATATTAATGTTGACCTATATTTTATTGTTACATACATTTTTTTGAAGGAGATGAACTCTGCAATATAAAATAGAATTCAACTAATTCAATATATTTACTCTCGGAGTAATTCTTCAGTTCACTCAAGCTTATTTATGTTGATTGGAAGACCGACATTCTCCAATATGAAGTTGACACATACAATTTGCCATCCTTCATCAATCGATAATATTTGTGCATCACTTCAGGTTAATCTAATCCAGTATTTTGCATACCGTTGATGATTTCTTCTAGTAAAGTGTCTAGTCTTTTATAGCATCCAACGCGACAGCAACTCGGAGAAAGTAATTCATTGAGCTTCATTTGATGTTTTTTTCTCAGACAAAAATCTCTCATGGGTCCTTCGGGCATATTCTCAATTGCTTGAAACATTTCTATAAATTAATTGTGGGATTTAGCTATTTGAGTGTGAAGATGCCAAGTCCCATGTACTAGCTCTAAAAAACGTCCATTAAGGTTTTCGTATTCGAAACATGACATGGTCCACAATGGTCCAAGTCTTCCAACAATAGCCGGTAAATGTAATAATTGGTGTAGGTTCATGATGCAATAACGAAGCCCATAGAGTGTTTGAAACTCTTACAAATTTGTGAAGTAAATCTCGAGCTGTTTGACGCAATTTCATCCGAGTTTAAGATAGATATAGCAATAACGAGTAACATGTAATGTTGGAAGTAATCCTGTCTTAGGATCCCCTCCAAAACTGGTACAGAATAGTATAAAAACCACAACCTCAGCTCTGAAGCCTTCCAATGGATCAATTCATTAAGGGCAGACCGCGGTGAAATTTGAAAGTCTCAGCTCGGCCTTAAGAGCCATTGGACGACTTTTAATATATGAAGGGATACATAAAAAAGAGAAGAATTTCGGACCCGAACCGTTTTGCCCCGTATATCCACCAAAAACGTCGTTTTTCACATTTTTAGCTTGAAAATGCCCCTTGTACCACAGTTTTCATCCGATTTCAACATTTTTTTTTTAATGTTCGCTATACTCCAACGAACAAACCCAAGTATCCGATTTGCTTTATATTTATCAGATCATGAGAAAATGATTTTTTTAGTTTCTATTTTTTTTCCTCTTTTTAGCAAATGCTAAAATTAGTTGTTCTTCGTTATTCCACGTTGTAATCCTACGTAATTGAAATATTATAACAAAAAAATGGGGGGGAAACAACGAATTTTAGCATTTGCTAAAAAAAGGAAAAAAAATTAAAATTAAAAAAAAACATTTTCTCATGATCTAATAAATGTAAAGTAAAACGGATACTTGGGTTTGTTCGTTGGAGTATAAAGAACATAAAAAAAAAAAGTTGTAATCGGATGAAAGCTGTGGTCCAAGGAGCATTTTTAAGCTAAAAACGTGAAAAATGACGTTGTTGGTGGATATACGGCGCAAAACGGTTCGGGTCCGAAATTTTTCTCACTTTTTTATATATCCCTTCATATATCAAAAGTCATTCAATGGCTCTTAAGGCCGAGCCGAGACTTTCAAATTTCACCGCGGTCTCCCCTTAACAGAACGCGGCATGCGATGGACGAATTTTGGAGGCTTGATGGATGTTAAACGTCTGTTTATAACATCAGTGAACTGATAAAGCGAGAAAGGCAGTTGACGATAATCGACATTGAACCATAATTCAAGCATTTTTTTACAATCCCACCGTCTACACCATGCATCTTATCGATTCCCATTCCATTAATGGAATCCGCCATTATTTTAGAGAAGACGGTGAGACCTTTTATGTCCATGACTCGATTTTCAGGAGTAGCTGTTCTAGAATACTCATTGGATTCTTCACTTGTTCTCAATCTGGGATTTTCTTCATAAGGAAACACAAAAACCGAACTTTGAGATGAAATTCTGTAACTTTCACCCTTACAATAACATACGGTGCAGCCACATCACGTATGAAAAAATCGTATAGAAAGTTTCTATACAATTTGCGTAAAGAATTTCTATAGGTTTTTCGTATATGATATTCGGATATTTCTATACAAAAATTCCCTATACAGATTATTTCTATACGAATTCGTGTAGAAATTCGTATAGAAATGAACCGTATAGGAAATTTTCGTATAGAAATATCCGAATATCATATACGAGAAACCTATAGAAATGCTATACACAGTCCGTATAGAAAGATTCTATACGATTTTTTCCTACGTGATGTGCCACTGTACGTGGTAAAATTGAAAAACTGCGATTTAGCTTGCAGATCACATGTTGCTGCTAACATAATGGCCCTCACACTGATTTCGTGATTCTCATTAGCAATAGTAACATTCACACCTTCCCAGAGTTTTTCACAAGTTGGTGTCAATGCGTCCATGAACATATTAGCCTGAGGTTTCTGGTCACCATACCAAAGTCCAGCCAGAATTACGTTTTCTTTTTTTGTGTGCATAGAAGGTGGGAATTCGTTAAATGTCCAGTAGATTGGCCACACACTTACGTGCGATGATTTATACACTGGAACGTCATCACTGTACCAAGTGAATGAGATATTATTAGGATCTGCGAGAAAACCTTCAGCTATACATCTCCTGTACAAGCAGCCATCGTAGATATCACGTATGACTCCCGGATGATTTTGTGAACGTGTGAATCGATATTGCAGATTGTTATAAAAATTTTTCCTTGTGTACATTTATCGTAACTGGTTGATAAATGGCAGCTCTACAAAATATGAATGCTTTTTCTTCGGACATGATGGGCAAACCTCTCGAATCCATGCCAAAGATCTCAAACAAAATTTGCAATAATAATGTTTCGTCATTTGAGTTGCCTCAAGATCGAAGTATTTTTGAAATTTGTGTAAACTATTTTTTTTTTATTTCCACTCAAGCAATGGAAGTTGATTACAGTAATAATGTCTGCTGGACATAAATATGTGACATTATGATGAATGAGTATGGTGAGAATGAGAAGCATACTCTGATCAATCGTTACAGGAGCACCGCGATGCAGTGGTTGTCCAGCACGTAAATCATCCATGGCCTCGTCCTCACTCTCCTCATCAGTAGAATCATCTAAATCATCCTGAGAAATTTCCTCTTCGTCTTCAACAACTTCTCGCCATTCCTCTTCATCTTCTTCATGCTCATCTTCCGCCCCTTCTCCTCTGAAATCGTAGAATTCATCATTCTCCCATTCATGTTACTGGCATCTGATTGTCTACTATTATCCGTGATCTCTTCGTCTGGTGCTTCCTCCGGACATTCTCCTAGTATTCTTTGATGATCGTCTTCTCCTCTATCATCTGAACCTCTGTGAATTTGATTATCATCTTGTTATAAACAATGAAAATGAATCGAGGTTTTAATAAATCAATTCGATGGGATTTTGCATTGAACTAGTAAAGAGTAAGGAAGAGGGGAGAAAGGTATTGTGGCATTAAGGATATTCCGATTGCCTTGAGATTAAGGTACTCCTCAGTTACTTAGACCTCGTAAAAATTTCGCTCATGAAAATATACTGAAGACGGGAAATTCGGATCACATGTTGCTCCGCACGTTCAAAAACGACTCCCAAAATTTTAATTATTTTTTCCACGCGAATTTTCAAGATATTCATCGTAAAAAATTGAGAAAAACCCAAAAAGTGAATGTTTGAAGATGAATTTCTAAAAAAATTTCGTGGAAAAAATACTTGAAATTTTGGGAATCGCTTTCGAATGTGCTCAACAACATGCGATCCAAATTTAGCGACTTTTGTACATTGCAAAAT